AAAAATTAGCCGGGCATGGTGGCGAGCACTTATGGTCCCAGCTACTCAGGAGGCTGAGGTGGGAGGATCACGGTGGGAGGCTGAGACTATAATGAGCCATGGTCGCACCACTGAACTCCAGCCCATGTGAAAGAGGGAGACCCTGTCTCAAAAAAAAAAAAAAAAAAAAAAAAAGTATATCAGAGAAGTAAGAAAGGGGAAGATTTGAAGATGATGGTGATATTTCCAGGCAGGCAACTGGGAGACTGATGTTGCCTTTGGTAGAAGTAGAAGAGTTGTGAAACTGGGCCCGTTTTACAGAGAAATTTAGCTTCAGATGTTCTGAGAAGCAATGCCAGCGTATCCATAAGGATAAACAGTGCTTGTTCAGTCAATAGATGCTATTGGGCATCTCCTGTGGTGGGAGCTGGAGAGACACTGGGAGATTTCACAATATCTGTGATGCAGTTTCTGTCCTTAAGAGCCTTGGGGTAGGCACATACATATTTAATAAAATGTATCAAGGGATAAGTCTGCATAAGAGACACACAGATTGCTCTTAGACATTCAGATTAGAGCAAGACTGCATCTGGCTGGAGTCAGGAATAGCACTTCAATGGGAGGAATGGCGTGGTAGGAACGCAGGGAGGGCTTTTGTTTCGGTGCACTCTTCCTGCAACCTTTTTCATTCAGTCAATGGTTTCATTTGTTTTCATTTTACATAGTACCCACCAAATTCAACTTGACCCCAAATAATCCTTTAGAGCTGGTTTCATCCATGCCAACATGCAGGACTGGTGAGACCCTGGAAACGAACATGCTCAGTGAGGGGCTGTGTGACAAGTTCAGGGGAATGGCAGCCTGGGTCTGAGGTTCAGGGAAACTTGAACCTTAAGACTGGAGGAGAATGAAAAAGCTGTCAAGGAAACTAAATAAGAAAGACTGGTGTCACAGAATTCAAGAGAAAGGGTGTTTTAAGAATTGGGTATTTGGCTGGACGTAGTGGCTCACACCTGTAATCCCAGCACTTTGGGAGGCCAAGGCGAGCGGATCACAAGGTCAAGAGATCAAGACCATCCTGAACAACGTGGTGAAACCCCGTCTCTACTAAAAGTACAAAATTAGCTGGGCGTGGTGGTTCAAGCCTGTAATCCCAGCTACTCGGGAGGCTGAGGCAGGAGAATCGCTTGAACCTGGGAGGTGGGGGTTGCAGTGAGCTGAGATCACACCACTGCTCTCCAGCCTGGCGACAGAGCAAGACTCCGTCTCAAAAAAAAAAAAAAAAAAGAATTGGGTATTCAGCAAAGTCAAATGCTACAGAGAAGTTAGAAAGAATTAAAATTAAATAACTAATAGTGTTTACTATGCAAAACCTCAGGGGACAATGTTAAAATCAAATCAACCACAGAGCATTATGATTTTGAATAGTTTATAATACCCAACGTCTTATTCCTACTCATACCTATCTACTCACCCACGTGCCTCCAACACTTTTAGTCCGTAACTACTAGGCTACAATTGAGTACACACCCCTGACAGGAAGAAATTTGACAAGCAGGGTCAGTAGTCGTTTCGATGGAATGACCCCAAGAAGTTTCATTTTTTGAGGTTTTAAAATCAGGTCTGGATAGGCCTGTTTGACCAGTAATTTCTTCATTTATGTCTGTGTCGTCTCTACTGATATCTTCAGTTCCAGTGCATCTACAGTTAGCAAAAATTTCTTCTAAATCATGTCCTTCCACTTCAGGTGTTTTGTTCACAACAATCTTGCCATGTTTGGGAGATTTGGGGGAGCACCACAAAATATTGTTTTGTACATAGGCTTCTGTTTTATTTTATTGTGTTTTGTTTGAGACAGAGTTTCACTCTGTCACCCAGGCTGGAGTGGAGTGGCGCGATCTCAGCTCGCTGCAGCCTCTTTCTCCTAAGTTCAAGCGATTCTCCTGCCTCAGTCTCCCGAGTTGCTGAGATTACAGGTGCCCGCCACCACACCCAGCTAATTTTTGTAGTTTTAGTAGAGATGGAGTTTCACCATGTTGGCCAGGCTTGTCTTGAACTCCTGACCTCAGTTGATCCTCCCACCTCAGCCTCCCAAAGTGCTGGTATTACAGGTGTGAGCCACCGTGCCCAGCCTGTACATAGGTTTTTATGATCAGAGCAGAAGTTTTATAACTTTCAAATCACACCCACATTGTTTATTATAAATACTAGTGACTTGCAAAGCTATATTTTATTTTTTTCTTATTGACTAGCCTACTGGCATAAGATTACTTATCCTGGATGAAACTGTTACTGCCAGGAGACCTTTTTTTTGAAACAGGTTCTCACTCTGTTCCCCAGGCTGGTTGGAGTACAGTGGCACAATCACAGTTCAGGGCAACCTCGACCTCCTGGGCTTAAGTGATTCTCCCACCTCAGCCTCCCAAATAGCTGGGACTACAGGTGTGCAACACCATGCTCAGCTCATTTTAAAATTTTTTGTACAAATGAGGTCTCACCATATTGCTCAGGTTGGTCTCTAACTCCTGGATTCAAGCAACCCACCCGCCTCAGCCTCCCAAGGTGCTGGGATTGGCCAGGCGCGGTGGCTCACGCCTGTAATCCCAGAACTTTGGGAGGCTGAGGCGGGTGAGTCACCTGAGGCCAGGAGTTCAAAACCACCCTGGCCAACATGGCAAAACCCCGTCTCTACTAAAAATACAAAAATTAGCCAGGCACGGTGGCGGGCGCCTGTAATCCTAGCCATGCGAGAGGCTGAGGTGGGAGAATCACCTGAACCCGAGAGGCAGAGGTTGCAGTGAGCTGAGATCATGCCGCTGCACTCTAGCCTGGGCGACAAGAACAAAACTCCATCTCAAAAAAAAAAAAAAAAAAAAAAAATCAGAAAAGCCAAGAGCACTGGATGGGCACAGTGGCTCATGCCTGTAATCCCAGCACTTTGGGAGGCCAAGGTGGGTGGATCACTTGAGGTCAGGAGTTCAAGACCAGCCTGGCCAACATGGTGAAATCCCATCTCTACTAAAAGTACAAAAAAATTAGCTGGGCATGGTGGCACATGCCTGTAATCCCAGCTACTCAGGAGGCTGAAGCAGGAGAATCACTTGAACCCAGGAGGCAGAGGTTGCGGTGAGCTGAGATTGCACCACTGCACTCCAGCCTGGATGACACAGCAAGACTCCATCTCAAAAAAAAAAAAAGAAAAGAAAAAGAAAAAAAAAAGAAAAGAAAAGCTAAGAGCATAACTCTGCAGTCAGGCTGCCAGAATTCAAATTCAAATTCAAATTCAAATGCTGGCAATGCAACCTCTCAAATTCCTTACTTTACCTAACAATATAGGGTAATTGTAGTGTGCACACCATAAGATTTTTGTAAGGTAAATGAAATGATATAGGTCAAATTGTACTTAGAACAGTATCTAGTGAGTTCTTAATAAATGTTAACTATTATTATTGCTAAATATCCCACATGTATGTTCGATATTATTGAAATGTCATTTTATTTAAGCACTGAAAAAAATATTGTTTTTAAATGATATTTTAAGAGTGCAGTTTTAATAAAAAGTGAGGGCAGAAAGAAATGTCTGCTTATCAATCAGGGAGCCTAGAAAAAGACATTTCGCCTAAAATAAAGACTTTAGACATCACCTCTACCCCAAGCTGTATCTACACAAAAAGCTTCTCCCAATTATAATTATTTTGGTGAATTTGGCGGCTGTATTCACACAAATGCTGGAGGAGGCCAGGATCCGCCTGCTCCTGTGTGTAAGGGAGGCAGAGGCCTTGGTTGTGACCCATAGCTAAAGCTCAGGGCAAATCAGGTCACAGGCCTGCCTGCCCTTCTGCCTCTGGGGTTATAGCGTAAATACAAAATTGGATTAAACATCATTTTCTGCAGATACAGCTTCATATAGACAATCTGTATGCATGCAGGCAAAGACCACATTGGAGGGCCTTCTCTCCACAACCCAGTGCTAATGCTAGTCAGGTTTGGGGGTGCCGAGGACCCCTAATGTGCATTCCTGGACCCTAGATGGGTCTTGCTTCATCAGCACGATTTCCCCTCTCCTAACAGCTCTCTGGTTGCTAAGAGATTGTTTTCAGATCTAAGGGCTCACTCTTTGTCCTATTCCAAACCACAGCAGGGTTTACTTTCCCTCTTATGAGTTTGCCAGGAGCAAAAAGTAACATCCCAACCTCCTGTCAACTCAACAAGAGATTTATTGCAATTAACTAAAAGGACACTTGTTACTACAGGAATACCATATGCTTCAGCAAAGATAGGATCCCAGCTTGTGGCTGGCCTCTGCAAACAGTCAGGGGCCTGCCAACACAGCCTTTTTTGGTTGTACAGTCATTAACAGTGCAGCCTCCAGACCCAGGAATGTTTCCAAGGTGCAGCTGGCACTCAGATAGTGAGGTCATCTCCAGAGCAGTTGTTCCCAACTGGCTGCCGCAACCACAACAGGCTTTTTGTTTAAACTGCTGGACCCCCTACTCAGTGATCACCCTCCTTTTCTTTCTTACCAAGAGAATCTGAGGTATATTAGGGGCAGCGTTGTTCTCAGCTAAAAATACTACATTTCCCAGCCTGCCTTGCATGGTCAAGATTGGTGGCTTGCAAGGTGAAGTGCCCCAGATATTTACGGGAAAATTTTGCTTTCCTGTTATACATGCTGCCCTTCACCCTCTCTGCCTACCTCTCTTTAGTGTTTGGATTTTGTGAAGGCTAATTTGGCTGATTCTAGGTTTCCTTTCAATTCCTTCCCAGGTTGTAATTATTCTAATGTTTTGAATTGTTCAAAAGTTTTGAATTGTTCAAACATTTTGAGACTGCTGGAAGTCTGATTTCCAGGCAATAAGAGAATTCTTGTGTATGCGTTGATTACTTTAAAAAATTGATTCATATAGTTTTATCTGAGTACTCTAAGTGAAAATGATTAAACATCTGCCCTTTTTCAAAGTTACTGATTCATACACAAGGAAACATAGAACTATGAAATTAATTACAGAAAGATAAAAAAGTTTGAGAAATGAGCAATTTATTTCAATAAAGAGAAAGCATTAATTTTGCTACAGTGGGAAAAAAATGAACTCAAGAGTTGCTACGTTTACCTGTATCTCCATTTATCTCTGCACGATGTCTTTATCTCAGTGTCTCAACTCACACTAAAATATTGAATGAGAAATATACCATGTTGACTGATGGCTTGACATATCTGATTTAGGGAGACTTCTACAGCCACTCCTCTCCTTTTTCTCCCAGTAAATACTTTTGACTTTGACACTTACCATATTGGAAATGACAGGTGCCGGAGGGCAAGTGCATCAAAGCAGTTAGGATCCAAATGTTTGCTAAGGATTACTTTTTTAATGGAGCAGTTTTATTGAATCCTTAAAATGCAGAACCCAATGAATCTCCTTTATTGTGAAACAAAACAATTCAAATGATTGCAAACCCAGGAACCTAACAGAGAAGCACTTAGACATTTAGAACAAACATACTTATTTTCCAAACTTTGACATTTTTGTGAAGTACACTTATCATCTAAATATCCCTCTCCCTTCTTCTCTTTTACAACATACCATTTCAACCTGTTTGTTTATAGAATGAAGGCCTTGAGGAAAAACCTTATTCACATCCCCGTAAAAGAAATAAATAAATACTTGTTTATAGAATCAATCTAACTGAACTTGACTAAATCTTGATAGAGGCTCCAATCTTACTCACACATAAGGGGATGGATGATCTTTTGTTATCAACAAATTCTCATTAAGATAGCTAAACAGTTAAATTATTCAAATGCATTTCTTGAGTTCCTACTATGTGCAAAGCATTGTTCCAAAGTAGACACTCTTCCTCAGAAATAAAGTGGGTCACTGAAATCATAACTTCAAAAGTGTAGAACTTTTGATACACCCACAATATTCTAATGACAGGAAAGTTTGCTGCTGCTGTTAGGGCTTCTGCTTCCAGAAGTGCCCAGTTTATTTCTAGGGAATAGCTCAGGCATTGGAAGAATATAACTTAAACTTAAGCATTAATAAAAGATGGAGTTAGGGAATGGTTGTACCTTTATGCCATAACACAACTAACAATGTGAAGTACATCCCGGTGATCTAAAATGCTGGCATCTGGCCAGGCGAGGTGGCTCATGCCTGTAATCCCAGCACTTTGGAAGGCCAAGGTGGGCGGATCACATAAGGCCAGGAGTTCAAGACCAGCCTGGCCAACATAGCGAAACGCTGTCTCTACTAAAAATACAAAAAATTAGCCGGGTGTGCCACTGCACGTCTGTAATCCCAGCCACTCAGGAGGCTGAGGCAGGAGAATCGCTGGAACCCAGGAGTCGGAGGTTGTAGTGAGCTGAGATCAAACCACTGTACTCCAGCCTAGGTGACAGAGTGAGACTCTGTCTCAAAAAAAAAAAAAAAAAAAAGGCTAGTATCTGTGTGAGGCAGTCTAGGAGATGACACCAGCTTGAAAATAAACCAAGATAAATTTCAAAATAAACCAGACCAATACAGACCAATTGCGATTTATAGGAAAAATAAAAATACAGAAACATCACCTCCTCTCCCCAACCCCAGCACTGAAATTATACTTCCTCAGACATGCTGCCATCATTGGGAAGGATGGGGGCAGATTGGGTACATTTATAGAATTTTAAATAATTAAATAACAGAGGCACAGTTTTTGCATGTATGGTCCCAAAGACTTTTCAACTTATTTTTCAACATTACAGTTGTTAAGAATGGAAACTGAAGGAATTGTATACATTTTTGCTGACAGTTTCTTACAGAATGCAACACATCACCACCATAAGACGGGCTATTTTGTCTGTCACCCATTAAAACCTAACTTGATAGGACACCAGGCTTGCAAGGTCTAAGTGCTTCCTTCACATACCTCTAAATTTTTTATCTTTCCTGAACTAAATAGGTTCCTTTTCCAGGTCAAGTGTTATCTTCTGGTAAAATACCTTCAGGATAAATATGCTTCCTCAGTTATATATCCCACAATGCAAACCTCCATTACAAGCTTAAACTCAGCTCCTGGTCTTGCTCTTTAAGACTCTCCGCACTTACTTAAAAGGATCACTTAAAACACTAGAGAATAAAAGTCTCCCTGAAGGAGAGAGACATTCAAGGAAAGCAATGCTATTTCCAGCCCATGCCCTGCCTTAGAAACTCAAACTTAATCTCATCTCTTGCAAAGAGCCTCAGCAGTCTCCCATTTAGAAACTTGCTCTTATTATTTTCTAAATGTGGTGGTTAAATAAAATTAAATGCAAACAATAAACAATAATTAAATTACAAACTTAAAATAAATAAAAAAATACATGGCCTGGCGCTTTTCAGAGAAGGTAATAATAGAGAACGGTCAGTTTCTGGAACTTCACGTTCCTTTCTGTACCAGTTTCTACAATAGGTGGGAAACACTGCCCTCTAATGGGCTTATAGTGTTACATCCCTTAGTTCACACGGTGAGACACTGCCCCAGGATGCACGTACGGGTGCACGCTCTCTCTCTCTCTCTCTCTCTCTCTCTCATGTTGGCTTCTGGGACACAGTCTGTCCTTGGTCATCTGTGAACGACTCTGAAGACCATGGAGTCCCTAGAGAAGCTGTGAAACTTCGTGAAAGCTCATCAAGGGGATTAGAAGTTAGCATTTGTTGCAGTGGTTTTCAAACCTTAGTGTGCCGCAGAACCACCGAGAGAAATTGTTTAAACTCAGGTTGCTGGGCTCCACATCGAGAGTTTCTGATTCCGTAAGTCAGGGGGGTTGTGTCCAAGAATTTGCCTTTCTAACAAGTTCCTGGGTGGTGTTAATCTGCCATTCCAGGGACTACACTATATGAGCCAGTACTATGCTAGGCACTTTGGCTCATTTAATATCTCACAACTGGATGAGGTCTTATCATCTTTGTTTTACACAGTCAAAGAGAGATTAGGTGGCTACACTCACACAGTAGTGACAAAGCCTGTCTCAAGCCCAGGATTGTCTAACTCAACCCATCACTCTCTTCTGAACACAATCATGTCGGGAAATGAAGTTGGCAGTCGCTCCATCTATCGGGCCCTCAGCTTCTTCATGTGAGGGAGCAGGACTTAGATGATGGTTTAACGGGCTTCCCCTCTGAGTACTTGGAGGACTGGATTGGGAGCCACTCAGGAAAGGCCTACTGCATACCTAGGCTGCATCTGGGAGTGGGTAAGCTGAAGGGAAAGGGAAGAGGAGGACATGTCAACACCAGGGCCCTCTTTGAGTTCTGAACCGTCCTACAACGTTTAAAGGGCTGATTTGCTCTGGATTCTGGAGTTCTTTGTATCAGACATTCTGGAAGAGAGGCAAATGCCTTCTCTCACGGGCATTTTGAGGACTTCAAAGACTAGTAGGACTTGGAGACGACCCAGAGGGCGGCACTCTCTCCAGTCTCAGGTCAAGCCACCAGGGCAGGGTCAGGGACCCTGAAGTAACTTTCAAACAGTAGTGCCTGCCCAGCTGTGTTTAGACAGAAAGGTTTTGATAAAGGAAAAAGAGTTTTGGGGTCACATTCTTCCACTAGGATCACACCACTGAAAAGTCCGTAGCACTCAAGCCCAGGCAGATGTCACAGTGATGGGAAAAGAAGGGCTCTGGGGACCCACCCACTTCAAAACCAGTTTTTCTCATCGTTTGCCTTCGGCTCCTAACCCAGCTTGGTGTTTTCCTAAGGGAGCTACAAAATCTGGAGCATCCCATGGGGATGATTTGCTGGCCTCGGTCATTAGGGGGAAAGGATGTTCTCAGAAAAACAGCCCTGCACGCTGGTCAGCAGAGATCTTGAGGTCGTGGCCACGGCTGGACTTGGTGCAGAGCTGGACCCGAGACTCCAGCTGTTCGCTGAGTTCGTCCAGAGCCCCCGTGCAGGACTCCAGGCTCTCGGCCAGTTTCTGAATTTTGGCCTTCAGCACGGCCTGGCTAACCTTGGTGTCCCCCTCCGCCCGCCTGGGGATGAGGAAGCCACGTGAACCGAAGAAGACGATGAAGTAGACAGAATTGTACAGGGCGATGGAGGCGTTCCGGCCGCACTGCAGCAGCTGGCGGTCCCCGCAGCCCTGCCAGCGGCAGAAGAACTCCAGGCAGCTCAGGATCTCCCGCATCTGGTCCTGGCAGGTGGCCGCGATCTCCTGCACCCTCCGCAGCTCCCGGGAGTTGCAGAAGATCAGCGAGAGGTCGGACGTGATGGTGACAGCCCCTCCGGCTGTGGCCACCCCCAGCCCCACGGCCGACGCCAGCAGCGAGGCCCCCAGGGTGACGGGGCTGAGCGAGAGCCCCACGATGGCTGCAAGGGCGCCCGTTGCGCTCAGCGAGCTGCCAGCCACGTTGGCCACCAGGGAGCGCCTGCGCAGGCGCTCCAGGCGCCGGGCCACCTCGCGCAGGCGCAGCACCTGACCGTGCAGCCGGCCTCGGCGGTCCAGCAGCAGCCCCTGGAAGCGCCTCAGTGCGTCCGGCCCATGCGGCTCCAGGGCTGCCGGCCTCTCCATTCCCTGCGGGGACACAGACACGCGGTCAGCCTGGAGTCTCCGTGCCAGCCGTCGCTCCCTCCCTGCTGCCCGGACGCCAGCGGGAAGTTGGCACGAATTCAGCGGAGCAGCCACTGCCCCGCTAGGGGAACGGGTCTGTTTCCAGTGGATCATGAATCAAGTTCTCAAAGACCTGTTCTGGAATCGGGGGGAGCCACACAAGTTCTCAGGACCTTATCTCTGCATATGGAAATAGGAATAATGCTATCTTCTGCTTCTCTCCCAGGGAACGCTAAGGATGGGTTTCATCAGCTATGTGTTAAATAAGATTTAAACTGGGAGGGGCGTGGTATTAGAAGACTTCTCCAATACTGAGAGGCCTTTGCTCTATTTAAGATAACACTTTGTAAGTGGTGGGTTGTACAGTTTACAAAGCCCTTTCATCATATGAAAATTGGATCCTAGGAGTTCTGCAACACACTTTTCTCTCTCTCTAATGAATGAAAAAGACGTTACCAAAATCTCAAAAATCATATTTTCTACCAAGCAGAATAAACTAATCTAAGTTAGATGCTTGCCTGAAGCAACTCTTCTGCTTGTGATTCTTCCAGGCTCTTTTCTTAGAATCAAACCTACAGTGAGGTTTGCGTTGTTTATTCTAACTAGGGCTCCTTAGATCTTCAGAAACATCAATCTTTGCTGGGTGCTTACTTTAAACTCAGTCACATTAAATTAATACCATTATGTCTCTTTGTTATGAACGTTTTCTTTTAAAATTGAGTAATGGTTGAATAAAATAAAGCGGCCAAAATTTCTGTTCAACAACTTGTACCACGTTGAAGCCAACTGAAGATGACTGACAAAGATACTAACAAGTTGTACATCTTGGGGGAAAAGTACATTCATCTTCGTTGCCAAGATTCCCACCTTCATGTCCACTGTAGTCTTCATTATTAGGAACTTCTTAGAAGTGGCAAATGAGCCATAGAAATAGAGCATTTCAAAACTGAGCTATCAGGGCAGAAATCATTCTCGTCTGGAAGAATTGCCTGCATCAGACATCAGATTCTAGAAGCAGCTGATTCTTCACAGAGCCCCATCTAGAATCCTGATCTCCTTACTCATAGGACTTAATTTTACTTCCATGCTTCCCTAATCCAACCCACCAGGGGTAATTTTCCAGGTAAAAAGAGAAAATGAGAAAAAGTCATCCCGAATATATGCCTCGGGGTTCCCCACTTACCATTCACTTCTGTCTCCCTCCAGGAAAGGACAATCTGGGGCTGTTTCTGGATGAGTGTGCTTTATAGTCCCAGAGAACCAATGGCTGCCCTGGGAAAGCCTTGTCTCATTCTGAGAATTTGCCATTTCCTGTCCTGACCCCTGCTGCCTTCATCCAGAAGGACGTGACATGGTGGAAAATGACCTGCCAGCACAGCACATCCCGTATTTAGGAAACGAACATTGTGTGTTCGCTTTCCCCTGAACGCAGGAAGAGAACCACAGGCTCTTCCCTAACTTGAAACAAGTGTGTTGTCATTCTCCCAGGGGGATACCCTGCCTTTCCTGAGAATAGCTAATGACGCCATAGGGAAGGCCTTCAAACGCACCCCAGGCTGACCAATTATAGTGTTTCTTGAGGCCACCATTACAAAATCATATTTTAAAAGAAAAAGGAGGGGGTGGAAAACCCTCATATCTGATATAGCCACTCATACTCCACTGCTGTATTTTTAAAAGCATTGTGAATCTGTGAGTGGCTGGAGCCTGTGATCCATTTGGCATGCGGCGGGTACCCTACAGCCCTAAGAATGCAAGGCCACACCCGCAGGAAGTGCTGCATGCAGTTTTGGGCATCCCCAGCTGTGGAGAAGACATTGGAGGTCTCAGAAAGGGCACACTCTAGGCCACATGCATCAGAAAAATCAGTGGGGTCGGTTGCACGAGGAGCTAATTATACGCTTTCAACTGCAGCAGGGAACTGGCTTCCCAGGTTTTCATTTGAAGTAGCAATTGTAGCCCACGTGACAGGGAAATGAGTGGATTCTGTCTACAGGGTAGCGAGGCATGGGCTGAAGGGCAATTATTTTGACAATTCAGCAGGAAAAAGTGAGTGTAGCTTCTGTGGACTTGCTGCAGACCAGATCAGATGGAACACAGATATCTCTGGGGCGTTCAGAGGTCGTTGGAGCTCAGCCTAGGAATTCAGTCCTACTATATGGCCCCAAATCCATCCATCGTCCTTCCAACCCTCTCCTCCAGAGAAGGAGGGCCAAATTCGTTTCTCACTTGAATAAGGATTATCTCAACTGTCTGGTTGACCAGGAAAGCCTTAACAGCCATATCATTCTGGAACATGATTCAATCCCCCACCTTTATAACTATACTTTGTATTTATCAACACAGTATAGCAACAGTAGCAGCAGTAGCAACAGTACTATTTGCTACTACTCACAACCAGAGTCTTTTCACACTTGATTATTCTTGATTTGATCTACTTCCAAATATTCTTCTTACAGCTCCTCAAAGGATAACTGTAACCTCAATCTAGATGCCTCCCGTGTGTCCTTTTGAGGTTAGAAGTGGAAGAATATCCTCCTCTGTCTCCATAGGCATGGTCACTCCAAATGGGATGCGGGCCAGGGTGAATTGGGGAGGTAGACAGGAGGGAACATACCCCTAATTCTTCAGCTGGCATATGTTCCTCTAACTTCCCTGGACATCATCTTGTGTGTTTTGGGTTTAGAGGAACACAATTAAATATTTTATAGATGAGGAATATTGCTGGGATACAGGGTCTTCTTCAGAGCATCAACATCATAGTACAGAGGTAGGATGAAGAACCAGAAGGTAGAGGAGAATAGCGAGCATGTATACTGACCCCAGCCCATCTCTTGGAATTTGTTTTTCTCTGTGTTGAAACCCCATTTTCTTTGTATTTGCCTCTTTATGGAGGCAAAAAAAAATTGAGTTCATTGACAGTTTGGGCTAAAGTTTTACTGCCCATAAAAACCTGGTACTTTGGCCACTCATAGTGGCCCATGCCTGTAATCCCAGCACTTTGGGAGGCAGAGGAGGGAGGGTCACTTGAAGTCAGGAGTTCAAGACCAGCCTGGCCAACATAATGAGACCCCATCTTTACAAGAAATTTAAAAATTGGCTGGGCATAGTGATTCACACCTGTAGTCCTAGCTATTCAGGAGGCTGAGGCAGGAGGATCACTTGTGCCCTGGAGGTCAAGGCTGCAGTGAGCTATAATGGTACCACTGCAATGCAGCCTGGGTGATAGAGTGAAACCTTGTCTCAAAAAAAACAAAACAAAACAAAAACAAAAAACAACTGGGGCCGAGTGTGGTGGCTCACCACTATAATCCCAGCACTTTGGGAGGCTGAGGCTGGTGGATCACCTGAAGTCAGGAGTTCGAGACCAGCCTGACCAACATGGTGAAACCCCATCCCTACTAAAAATACAAAAAAATTAGCTGTGTGTGGTGGCACGCACCTGTAGTATCAGCTACTCAGGAGGCTGAGGCAGGAAGATCACTTCAACCTGGGAGGCAGATGTTGCAGTGAGCCAAGATCACACCACTGTACTCCAGCCTGGGTAACAGAGTAAGACTCTGTCTCTAAAAAAAAAAAAAAAAAAAAACCCCACTGGTACTTCACCTTGTTTGTAAGAACTAACACTTGAACTTAGCAATTTCAATTCAGCATTTGTTTACAATTATTTATTTATTTATTTATTTATTTATTTATTTATTTTTGAGACAGAGTCTCAGTCTGTCACCCAGGCTAGAGTGCAGTGGCATGATCTCAGCTCACTGCAATCTCCGCCTCCCGGGTTCAAGCGATTCTGCTGCCTCAGCCTCCCAAGAAACTGGGACTACAGGTGCACACCACTACATCTGCTTAAGTTTTGTATTTTTAGTAGAGACAGGGTTTCTCCATGTTGGACAGGCTGGTCTCGAACTCCTGACCTCAGGTGATCTGCCTGCCTCGACCTCCTAACTGCTGGTATTACAGGCATGAGCCACCATGCCCAGCCAGCATTAATTTCATATAGTAAAGACACAATAAGAAATTTTAGGAACAAATGAAGGCATTTTGATCAAAAGTTCTGTGTGGTCAGTTTCCCCAAAAAAGTATGTGGACCACATCCTCAAACTTCTTTTTAAAATTGTTTTCTGGGCACTTCCAACACATCACCCTAGAGAGACTACATTGAAAATGGTGGTTGGCCCTGAAAGTAGCCTTCAGATCTCTTCAATTCTTTTTTTTTTTTTTTTTTTGAGTCAGGGTCTCGCTCTGTCACTCAGGCGTAATGGCACGATCACGCCTCACTACAGCCTCGACCTCCTGAGCTCAAGCAATCCTCCCGCCTCATTTTTTGACTTTTTGTAGAGACAAGTTCTCACTGTGTTGAACTCTTGAAGCAGCTGAACTGTGGCATTAGCTATACTAGCTTCAATTCTGAGTCCTCGAACCATAAGGAAATTCAGTGTAGGAAGGAAGAGAGATAGACAGCTTTTTAAGCATAGGAATCTTCAGGCCCCAGCCCTAGACAGTCTAATTCAAGTGGTCTGAAGTGGGATCTAGGAAAATACAGGTGATTCCTACCTGCAGCCGGGTTTGTGAACCACTGCTCTAGGAACTGGTAGTTTTGTTTCGTTTTGTTTTGTTTTGTTGAGACAGAGTCTCGCTCTGTTGCCCAGGCTGGAGTGCAGTGGTGCGATCTCAGCTTACTGCAATCTCTGCCTCCCAGATTCAAACAATTCTCCTGCTTCAGCCTCCCAAGTAGCTGGGATTACAGGCACTCACCATCATGCCCAGCTAATTTTTGTATCTTTAGTATAGATGGGGTTTCACATTGTTGGCCAAGCAGGTCTCAAACTCCTGACCTCAGGTGATCTGCCCGCGTCGGCCTCCCAAAGTGCTAGGATTACAGGCATGAGCCACCACGCCCAGTCAGAACTGGTAGTTTTCTGACCACCTGTTACATGGCAGCAGAAATAGTAAGTCTAGTGGAAAGGACCATGTTAGCTAGGCGTTTTTATAGTTATCAACAACCTATTTGCTTTAGGCCCCTACTTAAAACTATCACATTTTACAGATTAAGTGGGCCGGGCGCCGTGGCTCACGCCTGTAATCCCAGCACTTTGGGAGGCTGAGGCGGGTGGATCACAAGGTCAGGAGTTCAAGACCAGCCTGGCCAAGATGGTGAAACCCTGTCTCTACTAAAAATACCAAAAAAATTAGCTGGGCGAGGTGGCGGGCACCTGTAATCCCAGCTACTCGGGAGACTGAGGCAGAGAATCGCTTGAACCCGGGAGGTGGAGGTTGCAGTGAGCTGAGATCATGCCACCGCACTCCAGCCTGGGTGACAGAGTGAGACTCCATCTCAAAAAAAAAAAAAGAAAAAAGATAAAGTGATAATTATGCTCAAGGCCTTTCAAAGGCCTGGGCCACTTCCATTTTTTGAGGCTCTCAGTTATTTTATTTTTTATTTTTTTTGAGATGGAGTTTCGCTCTTGTTGCCCAGGCAATGGCGCGATTTTGGCTCACTGCAACCTCCGCCTCCCGGGTTCAAACAATTCTCCTGCCTCAGCCACCCAAGTAGCTGGGATTACAAGTGCCTGCCACCACACCTGGCTAATCTTTTGTATTTTTAGTAGAGATGGGGTTTCATCATGTTGGCCAGGCTGGTCTCGAACTCCTGACCTCAGGTGATCCACCCGCCTCGGCCTCCCAAAGTGCCAGGATTATAGGCGTGAGCCACAACACCTTGCCTCTCAGTTGATTTGTTAAAATGAAGAAATTCTATAATGGAATATAAAAAATTGTGGCTCGTTTCTTTTAATTGCAATGTAATATATCTTATAATGTCAATATTTTGCTATTCACAATATAGTCACAGGATTTATAAAATATTAATTCATTTTATCAATATTGTGGAAAAGTGGCACAAGATTAAAGTTACATGATGATGGCTTTTTCCTTTTAATCCTTAACAGTATATCTCAGTGACTAAATATAGGACCTCTTTTGGAGACATCAAAAATATAAAATTGAGGCCGGGCATAGTGGCTCACCCTGCAATTCCAGCACTTTGGGAGGCTGAGGTGGAAGACTCACTTGAGCCCAGGAGTATGATACCAGCCTGGGCAACATGGCAAAACCCCATCTCTACAAAAAATACAAAATTAGCTGGGCATGGTGCCCTGCGCCTGCAGTCCCAGCTACTGGGAAGGTTGAGGTGGGAGGATGGCTTGAGCCCCGGAGACAGAGGTTGCAGTGAGCCAAGATTGCTCCACTGCACTCCAGCCTGGGTGGCAGAGCCAGACTCTGTCTCAAAATAAATAAATAAATAAAATTAAAATAAAAAATAAAATTGAGACAACTTGTGAATGTGAGATTTTGTCCAAAGGTCTTGCAGACTTTCCTTTGTCATCTGTTCTAATATGTACATTCACCAAAATAAAAATAAAATAAAAATAAATTCGGACAGGTGCAGTGGCTCATGTCTGTAACCCCAGCACTTTGGGAGGCTGAGGCAGGCGCCACTTTCCACAATATTAATAAAAGGAATTAATATTTTATAAATCCTGTGACTATATTGTGAATAGCAAAATATTGACATTATAAGATATATTACATTGCAATTAAAAGAAATAAGCCACAATTTTTTATATTCCATTACAGAATTTCTTCATTTTAAAAAATCAACTGAGAGGCAAGGTGCCTGTAGTCCCAGCTACTTGGGAGGCTAAGGTGGGAGGATGGTTTCGAGCCTGGGAGGTGAGGCTGCAGTGAGCCGAGATCACACCACTGCATTCCAGCCTGGGCAATAGAGCCAGACCTTGTCTCAAAAAAAAAAAAAAAAAAAAAAAAAGGAAATTAAAATAATAATACATATTCACCTGAGGATTTTTGCCCATGATTTCGTGAATTTCCCCAGAATGTAAGTGCTCTAGAACATAGTCAAGCTCTCATAGTTGCTTGTTGAATTTAACTAATGAAAAATGCAGGCCGGGCGCGGTGACTCAAGCCTGTAATCCTAGCAACTTTGGGAGGCTGAGATGGGCGGATCACGAGGTCAGGAGATCAAGACCATCCTGGCTAACCCGGTGAAACCCCGTCTCTACTAAAAAATACAAAAAACTAGCCGGGCGTGGTGGCGGGCGCCTGTAGTCCCAGCTACTCGGGAGGCTGAGGCAGGAGAATGGCGTAAACCCGGGAGGCGGAGCTTGCAGTGAGCTGAGATCCGGCCACTGCACTCCAGCCTGGGCGACAGAGCGAGACTTTGTTCACTTAAAGAAATATCATTATTTTATAACAATTTTATGAGAATTTAACATAAAATTTTCTCTTGGACTATACAGCTTGGTATAACTTAGAATACTTATTCTGCAGAAGACTTCTAGGATATCTATATTGCATGGAATCTCAAGTATTATTGTCAAAAATTCGTGGAACTGCACAACAAGTACTGTAGTCCGGCCATTTTCATTTCTCCAAATCGGCCTCCAATCTTTGTTAATGTACACACACATCCTTAATCACTAGTGTTTAAACACTAGCCTGTGTTCTTTTTTCTACTTAACGTTCCTGCAGATAGATACACACTTGTCTATGTTGACATAGTCCTCACCTCTGTCATTTTTTAATAGCTATGTAATAATCCTATTGTTTGCTTAGTCGTTTCCCTGTTAGACACTTGGATTGCTTCCAGGTTTTTCACTGTTATAACTAGAGTTGCCAGGACATCTGTGTACATTTTTTTTCCTTTGGATTATTTCTTTGAGGAGTATTCACACAAGGGAAAATACCAACTCAAGGAGAATGATCATCTTCATCGTTTTTGTTATATATCGCTATATTGCTTTCCAGAAGAACCCATTTATAATGCCACCAACTTTTGTAAGAATAGAGGCAGAAGGCTTTCAGAATTTTCTTTTTTTTCTTTTTTTTTTTTTTTTTTTTGAGACAGAGTCTCGCTCCGTCCTCCAGGCTGGAGTGCAGTGGCGCGATCTCAGCTCACTGCAAGCTC